ACTTCAGTTCTGTGAAATAAGTGAAAGGCTTCCCTTATTTGATGCAACCAGGCCTAACTCTCAACTAACACCATGGTTGGAACATCCAGTATCCTTGTTGTAAGTTCTGGTTCCTCATTTTTCATTACCTTGACATATTATCCCATGCTTGTATGACCCAAAGAATCTGCCTGACCTAGCTGACTGTTTTTGCAATGTGTTCTCACCCTCTTGAGATCATTGACACCACATTTTCTTAGATTTGAGCAACATTACTGAATACCATTTCACAGTATTTGTAAGACTTTGGAGAGATATGAGGGATTTTACTAAGTCTTTTGTGCTGGTCCTCAGTCAAATCAGGTGAGGAAAATTATGGACACTGCTCCCTTTATGCCTGTGAGAGAGAGAGAATATTGGCAGCTTTCTGTGCATGTGTTGCACAGTATGTTACCTACCAAATATTTAAGCATTGCATTCACTTTGCTAATAATAATGTATACGAGAAATTGCTTATTGAACCGTCTTACTGGACTACCATCAATTTTCTTTTTGTTTTAAGTGTGCATTATTCTCTTGCTTTAAACTCTTCAACTCATGTATTAAAGCTCTGATGAGAGAGACTAATTAGAGATGGACATGTACAATATTTGGTAGATCCGTGACTCCTTCATGGGATATGGCTTGGAGAACTTCTGCATTCCAAAGCACTATGAAGAGGACTTGGCATATGTGCTTATACCTGCTGGCATCATAGGAGACCGGTAGGCCCCACTTATTTTTCCACTTGACCAGTCTGTAACTTTAATTACTACCTGGCAATAGTAACCTGTGGATTTTTTATTATTGAGCTTTCTTTGAAACAGTTCATTAGTCGTGGTCATTGAAGAGCTTGCTGTATTTTCCTATGTTGCATAAGTTCACTTTTGATCATTTTCATACACTTCATTCCCTGTTTTGAGCAGGATGTTAAAACTTGAAACTAAATCTCATGAAAGCTTCCCCCAGACTCTTTCTTTTGCATCCAGTTTCTTAGATTTTTAAAGTATGTGTTTCTTTATATCTTAACTTGCCTTTGTATTTTGAAAAATTTCCACCAAATTTTTAGTACTTGGTATTCTGATAATACAGCCAAGTCTGAGTATATTTTAACAGTGATTAAAATTCTATGCTTCCTTTTTTACTACTTTGTATCAAACACCAGGAAATTAAATTGTAAACATTTATGAAGTTCCAATAATTGGCAGTGAGAGATTTAACTAATGCAGAAACTTATGATTAGAAATCAGGGAGGTGTGTGAGGTTGCAAGTTCATTCAAGGGTAGATAAGTTTTTAATATCTGATTCTTCTTGTGGTTGGAAATGGTGTAGTGCAGCAGGTGCCATAGAAGGCATGTGGAATAACCCAGGTTTTTTTAGTTCAATTAAATGTGCATGCAAATTTTTTCACATTGAGAATGTTTTCTTATAAAAAGAGTCTTGATTCAGTAAAGAAATTGGTATCTGCTGTTCCTCCTGGCAAAAGACATAAGCCTCCAGAGTTTTTTTTTTAATCTTTGAAACTTTTCACTTTCTTTCCAGAATAGAACGTGTAGCAAGGGACATCTTCATGGAAGTAGGAAGAGAGCCCCTTGTATGTCTTTGTGTGCTCAAAGGTGGGTTCAAGTTTTGCTCCGACCTTCTGGACCACATGAACCAGCTCAATAGAAACCTTGCTCTTACATCCACTCCTGTTACTGTTGACTTCATTCGACTGAAGAGCTACACAGTGAGTACTGGGAGCTGATGCTGCTTTGAACTCCATTGCATTCCAGACCCTTTCATTCTCCTTGCTCATTACTTTCATATGATTTTTGTGCTGCTTCTGTTGCATTGCAGGATGACCATTCAGAAGGAGAGGTTGAAGTTCTTGGAATCCAGAACTTGGAAGACTTGAAAGGCAAGAATGTTCTTGTTGTTGAAGATATCATTGATACAGGGAAGACAATGGTGAAACTTCTATCATTGCTTCATGCTCCTCAGNAACTTCTATCATTGCTTCATGCTCCTCAGCCAAAGTCTGTTCGAGTCATCAGTCTCTTAAAAAAACGCACTTCCAGAAGTTGTGGTTACCAACCTGATTGTGAGTATCCTTTTAAGCTTAAAATAGGTTAGTATAGGTTTCTGTGGAACACAAGTTCACATGAGAACTGACAGGGAACTGCTTAGTCTACTTAGTTTTGATTCCTTGTCGCTCTTTCATATCCCTATGGTTACTTACTTTAAATGTGAGAGGAAGAGACATAGTCAAAGCCAAGAATAACATTTAACCTATAATTTATTTCTGCTTTCATTCCTTAATATCCTCAATAAATCCGGTGAGTATGTGTCACTGCATTCCAATAAGGTTACAGAGGTCTCAGAAAAGTGATGTATTTTGATATATTGGACCAAATTCATCACTTGTAACCAAATTAACTATATCATCACATTATCTACATACAGGATGTTCATATTTAAACACAACATAGGGAATATATTTCCACCTGTGAGTGGAGGGTGGCAAACACTATAAGGCCCACTGGGTTACATATCTGCAAGGAAACACACCAGTGATAGGTTTCATCCTTCCAGATATGCAACCCGGTGAGCTCTAAGGCACACACTGAACTCCACAAACAGTCGAAAATATCCCTATGTTGAATTTAAATACCAACACCCCATATAGAATGCAATAATATAATGCTCTTCCTTTTATAATGCTTGCATGCCCAAAGATGCCAATTCTAGCTGTTCCATGTTTACTGTTTTGCTCTTTTACTTGGCAGATCACATCTCTCATATTACCCCTTATTTTGGAGACCCTTGGGCATTAAGAGTTTTGTGGATTGACAACTGTCCAACTTATTAAGGCTAGGTATCAAGTGCTAGTGTTCCTTTCCTGTTTCTGTTGTTCAGGTTAAGTTAATTGTACTATAAATAATTAAAACAACTTGTGATGAAACTTAATGTACATTATATAAAATTTGTTGTTGCTATGCAGATTAAAATGAGTAAAAGCTAAGATATTGAAAATAAAGACTATTCTGAATGTTTCTCTGCTCTAATTGCTTTCATATGTCTGCAGTAATCAATGGCTGATAGACAAGGACCAATGTACAAACTTGTGTTTTCCTCTTGAGTCTGTTTTCCCTAGACTCCATGAAAAAATTTCTAATGTATTGGAAACTTAGTCTCATGTGGTTCAAGCCATCCACCAACCTTTATTCCTGACAATGATCACAGTGCTACCTCATTCACTCATTTTCGATAATGCTACCTATCTCTTCATTACCCATTTGAAGCCAATGGGTTATATGCACCATATCAGTTTTGGAGCTAAACTGATCTGATTCCAGGCAAATATGTCTGAGAATGAGTTGAACTCATAGTTAAACTGATTTGTGACATGCACCAAATGAAATCAGTTTATTTATTTCTTAAAGTAATCTTCAAAGATAAACTTGCTCCATAGCAGGTTTTGCTCCTTAAACAGATTCTCAGAAGTGGAGAAACTAGCGAGCTGTTTTGCTGGAATGGGCCTCATTTTTCCTGTCTCTCGTGTGGCAGTGACAGTGGAAATGGAAACAAATGAAGAGGTTGAAGTTTTTGACATGATCCTGAACCAAACTACCAGAGATCAGCTCAATTCTCTTGAATGATTCAATGGGGATGAATTTGGAAGGTTTCATCTTGGTGTGGACAATGGAGCAGCAGCTGGCACAATACTCTTAATTCTCTTTCCAAATGCAACAACATTGCCTTTAAATGTGTTTAAATTTTGGATAAATGTGTTCATGGAAACTAATCTGATTTTCAGTGATGCATGTCAAAGATAAACTCATTCTTAGACATATTTTAGTAAATGTGTTCATTTCATCTTTAAACTAATCTGATTCCTCAATTGGTGCATGTCACCCATTATCTGAGATTTGAAATCATTAGGAAGTGCAAATTCAAAGAGCTGTCCACTGACACGCTATAACTATTGTTCAATGAAAAATGCATGCAAGAAATTATCATAGCTTCTAATCATGAAGGAATTTTATCTCCTACTTCCCTGTAATATTTCGCTTTGCTATACAAAGTCTCCATAAAGAATAAAGCAATTTTACAAACTAATAACTTTTAAATGGCTTCTCATCAAGCAATGAAACAAAGACGAAGATAAAGACACCCTGAAAGTTTTTTCTGAGCACTAAAAAGAAAACTGAGCATCTACTGCCATCTCTTGACAAATTTTTAAATTTCTCAATAAGTGAGCACTCAGCATAAACAATGGCAACCATGCAGCAGAAACAGTGGCGTATTTTTGCTGAAGGGCCAGGGCAACAGAGGTCAGACCCCACCCAAGCGATATCAGGGGAGAAAATCATTACCTCCAAGGGGACACTAAGCTCTGTCCCAGGGGCCCCAAGGGGGAGTGGCCACCCCCTGTAAAATACACCACTGAGCAGAAGCCTGTGCGGGCTGTGGGTTGCAAAGTTTGACTTTGCCAAACAAATATAGTGAGTTTTCATGAGTTGACAAGGGAAAACCACCTTCGTGCAATGTCATTACAAGGTGGTAAAAACAATGTGAAGAATCTGCATCTGATATGCTTGGACAGGCTGTGGACTTCACTTTTTCAACGTTGCCAGTTTCCTCAAATTGTAAAACCTTGTGATGGCATTGCATGAAAGTGGTTTTTCCTCAGACTTGCAAAAGCTCCTGCTGTGTTTGTGAGGCAGAGTAAAACTATGCAAGCCACAGCACACACTGAGGCTTCTACTGCATGGTTGCCATTGTTTATGCTGAGTGTTCACTTTTTGAGAAATTTACCAATTTGTTGAAAGATGGTGTGGAGGTGGTCTAAGTTCACTTTTTAGCACTTAAAAGAAACTTGACGTTTTTTTTATCTTCCAGTCTTTGTTTCATTGTTTTACAAGAGGCTGTTTAAAAGTTACACATTTTTTCATTTCTTCATTCTTTTATGGGCACCATGTACATTACAGAATCTGCTAAGTGCCTTTCATTACCTCCTTGGGGCATGGGGTAATAAGGGGCCATGAGAGGAAAAGGAATTGACACTGTTTTCATTGCCAAATAATATGGAATTGATAGCTAAGCAGTCAGAGAAATATCTATAGTGTATTTATTCCAAATTAAATATAATTCAGGTGAATGTATTTCTTTCAGTGACTGTTGAAAGTGAAGCTTCTTTTTTTTGTCCATTATATTAGCCTCCCTTCTCTTTCACTCTTAAAAAATTATCTGAGAATGTATTGCTTACTCTTTATTGACTGTGCAGAAAATGATATCTCTACAAGAACTAAAAAGTAAAAGTGCTCCTTTGTATTTCCATGAAATAGAGTGGCATAGTGCAAAAATAAAGAAAGAAACCCCTGACTTTTAACCTTTCAGTATCTGACGTTACTGAAGCCATTTTTGGGAAAGTTCCAGAGCTTGGACCAATATGTTCCCTACACCCTTTTGAAATTTCATCCAAAGTCTTTTTGCCAGAGGAAGGCTATGAGCAATTATTCAAAAGAAATTGGAACTTGAGAAGGGGCAGGAGATGCCATCTATCAGAGTGACTAGAGTCTGCCTGCAATGTTAATAAATGGACAATCATAATAAACATAGAGGCAAACTCCACATTGATGGATTAGCTATTTATTCATATTTACTCATAAAAACTGCAATCAAAGAAAAGCCAACCTGAAGAATGAATATCAATGGAAGAAGTGTGTAATATCACCTGGATGGTATGGTACCAGAGTCTAAAGGCATTTCCTCCACTTACCTACGAACAAGGGCTCCTGTTGATTTTCCTTATGTCACTTCTTTTGAATAACTGCTCATTGCCTTGCTTTGACACAATGAATTTGAATGAAATTTCATGGACACCTTTAAAATATATCAGCTTGTTCATAGAACCAGATTAATTTATTTAAAAAAAAAAACTTTGTGAGTGCAAAGAATTCATTGTGAAAAATTGGGGAGCATAACTTCTTTTTGCCTTACCCTGTGAAGTGTATTTTTGCTTTCCATTATTCTAGAAATAATAATCATGAGTACTTTTCAGATTGTTGCTTCGAGATACCAGATCGCTTTGTGGTTGGTTATGCTTTGGACTACAATGAGCACTTTCGAGACCTCAATGTAAGATCTATTATTTGGGTCATATTTTTTATTTCTCATATGGGTTGATTTACTT